ATTATATATTATATATTATGTATTATTTTATTTTATAATATAATATAACATAAATATAATATATTACATAACATAATATTATATTATATTGTATTATATTATATTATATTATATTATATTACATTATATTACATTATATTATATTACATTATATTATATTATATTATATTATATTATATTATATTATATTATATTATATTATGTTGTAAGCGTTTTTGGCGCGAACTGAGTTGTGGAAACATCCCGTTATTTTGCACTGAATCGCTGGCAAGAGGCTGAAGCTGACTGCCAGCGGTGGTATTTCACTGTCACCGTGTTGCTTGCTCAGTCGGCAGGACATGTCTTGCGTTCAGCGAAAGCAAGAAGTCCAAGAGAGGGAAGTTCAGTCCGGACCATTCAGGTGCTGTTCCTGGTGGCTTGGCCATCAAGCAAGCTGCTGGTGGCTTGCAGGCCCCGGATGTTGAAAGACCACATTGGCCAATTTGGACAACCTGACAGGTGGATCTTTCCGGACTGCAGCCGCACACCAAGGGTCCAGGGCAGACTGCGAGACAGCTGAAGTCCGGCCGTTCCCGCTCAGATTTGGCCAGTCTCGGCATGTCCTCCTGCGTCCATCTGTGACTTCAGACGCACACAGCTTCATTCTCGGCACATCAACTCCAACTTCAACATGTGTCCGAGTCTTCAGACATGGGTCAAAGGCGCCATATCGCTGACGCTGGAGTACGACACACGCAGCCGAGCTAGACGCAGCGTGTCGCTGTCATGCATGTGGAAGCCTCAGCACATATAAGGGTCCAAGTCTCACTCATGATGTGTAGGTTTCAATGAACAATAATTTTTGAATACCTTGAACGGTTTAGAAGTCATATTTGAAGATCTCCATTCTCGGAATTCCATTTCAAACAAATCGAGGCCCGGGCGGCTGCTGCACATAAGCTGCATACAGAAGTCTTTCCATCTCAACGGGGCCTGCTTGAGAGACAATGGAAAAGGACGCTTATATTGTATTTTTCAGGTCGTTATCTTAAATCCTTGAAATCTTAGTGATCTCTTTCTGGAATAAAACCTGGTATCTGAATCCCCATTCCCAGACAATGCTATAACTTCGCACAATCTGCTCTGAGCAGTTTCAACCCAGTCGTATAGAATCTTGAGCACCCAGAGCACAACTACATTCGCCAGATATAAAGCAGCCCAGCCGTGCACAGAAGCACTGATGCAGCTGCTGTCTGGCTGGGCTTGCAAGCGCTGTAAACTGCCGAGGCTCCGTGACCTGCTTCCGGCGGAAGAAGGCATCGCCCAGTTCCCTGGCTGCAAAGGCGAGTTGAGCGCAGCTTGGAATTGAGATCGCGAACAGGAAGTCCCGAGTCCTGCTTGTGGACGGTGTTCGGATGGATCCCTTGGCTGCATTTGCTTTAGCTGTTGCTGCTGTTGCTTTGGCCAATGACTGCTCAGTGACTGCTCACGATACAGTGCGACACTGCGGAAAGTAGAAGGGTTGAGTGCAGCTTGGGTTTAGGGCGAAGGTGCAGTTGTGGTCCTGTGCTGACAAAGGCGATGAGCACCTTAAAGCAGACTCAGCTGGACAAGCTGAAGGAACGGTCAGCAGAGCACATTTTTTTTGAGAGCTGATTCTCTGGAATAATTTCCTAAGAGTTCCGCTGCAGTCCCATTCCGAAGGAGGTGCCACTGCCCCTCCCCAAGGCGCAGGAGCCCGACAGAATTCAAGGGCATCGCTGTCATTCGACAGTCTGTGCAGGAGCAGATCGCGGAACTAGAGAGCTCCATCAGAGCGCTGGGTGGAAGCTCCGAGGAGTCCTCCGAGTGTTTCCTGTTTGGACATAACCGCAGCTCGTGGCTGTCAGGCTGTGGAAGCCTTGTTGGAGGACTTGTCTGGGCAGGCGCATGCGACTGAGAGACTGAGGGGTGTCGCAGACATGACAGTAATGCGAAATTCCAAGCTGTCTCTCTGTTTCAGCTTTGCATGCCTTTGAGTCTTCTATCCGTACTTGGATGGTCTGCTTTGGCCTTGCTGCCAGAGAATCAAGTTCTCTCGAGCTAGTATGCAAGTTGGGTGACGGCTAAGGCATCATGTGGTAGGAAATTACTGTCAAGCACCTTCTCGGCTTCGAAGTTCTCCCTGGTCAGGTGGCTGAAGCCTTCTCCCGCGAGGAGTGGTACACGAGGCAGGGCGATCGACATGACATCGTGACTGGCACCGCGTGTGGCTGCTTTTGCCGTCTGAGGTGGGGCGTCCACTTTCTTCCATCGCTACTGTGTGCACATGCTTCCCAACAATGCAATAACTTCAAGGACGATGCCCTCCTTGAAGATCTGCACTCGGAACTTTGCAGGTTGCATTCATTTTCCGGACCGGAGGACCCTGGAGTTCAGCACTACGGAGGTGATCTGTTTGCCGACTTGCGAGACCAAGCTGACGAGGTGGAGAAGGGAACTGGGCACTGTCAGCTCAGAGTCGGAGAGGTGATACTCATGGTTCCGCTGCTCTGCTGCGATCTGCACCTCCGAAAGCCGTCCTTGCTCCATGCCTTTGAAAACATACGACATATCAGTCGATCAGCATATGTGCGGCCAGGGGTAGGAATTCCGGAATCGTTGAATACGGCATGTGACACATGGGCTTCCGGCAATCCGTGGCGGCCTCTGCTGTCAGGCCGAACCACCAGACGCTTGTGGCTCTAGGACCCTAGGCGTTCATGGCCATCACTCCCTGCAGGTTAGATGTCGTCCCGGATGTATTCCATCAACAAGGGGGCCGGGGATGCGACCAATCGAGGGCATGCCCAGGCCAAGCTAGTTCTAACTGGTTTGTACCTGTGCTGCCATTTGTCTGCAGGGAAGTGGAAAAGGCTGGAGGCCATGGAAGCCAGAGTCGGTGCCCAAGACCAGTCGTCAGCAAGAGCCAGTCCAAGCCGTAACCTGCAGGTCCACGGTAGCGGTCACCGGCATCACAGACAAGATGAAGAAGACAGTGCTGTGGTTTCCTCTACGTGTCCACTGAGTCCAGAAGCACCGCATGCCTTGCGCATGAATTCTGAGGCAAGCCTCTTTCGGGGAATTTGGCAGGATCATACGCATCGAGGTGCCGTGCATGCATACATTTGGCTATAGGGCCCATACTGGCCTTTTGTTTTGGCCTTCGCTGCAGGCTGTCGGACCTCCCCTCGGAAATTGATACGACGGGTTGAGGCTAAGCGGGCCGGATCAAAACATCGTGGGACTGCACCTCCGGTTCTCCCAGTCAGCATCTCCCAGTCAGCCCTCAAAGGCCCCAACATGTGTTCGACTCGTACCCAAACTCAGGCTGGCTTCGTCTCGTGTTTTCGCTTTTCCTCATCAGATTTTGCTCCAGCATGCTTCGCTCCCATTCCCCTCTCCCAGGTGCCGGATGGCAAGACAGTTGCCTTCGTGGAGTTCGAAGAGCACCGAGATGCCAACGATGCTGTGAAAGAGATGAAGCTCGGACTAATTTGAATTGCTACTCCAGATTTAGGGGTTCTTGTGAACATGTAGCGTTCGTAGGAAGAAGCGTGCGCGCATGCAGCATTCGGCTCGATCGTCCTGTTTTGGCTTTTGCTTCCCTCTCTTTTGGCACCTCGGTGATCGTGTCGTCCTCCAAACCCGCTGCCATATTCATTCGAGAAGAATCTCCCCTCGCCTGGGCCTCCACATGCACAAATTGGGCGGAACTTGAAAGTTAATGGGCCCTTTAACACTCGTCGCCCCCATCTGGGCGGTGATTGTGGAATAGCTGAAGCGGTTGGGCAGGTCATCCGCCACTGCCTAAGCTGGGCAGCCACCTGGCACGACACAATGACCGCACGGTCGCCTTGGAGGTCACATGCAAAAGGACGGGATGGTGGCACCAACTGGCACAGCACGGCGACGACCGGCGTGGTCACCGAAGTGGCGAGGGCGTCCTGTTGTCCCTCGTTACCCCGTGTTGAGAAAGAGTTCTAGTTGACTGTGTGACTTGGACAAAGCACTGAGGCACAATGCTCTCGTAGAGGGGCGTCGAATTGGAGTTCGAATGGTGGAGGCAGCATTGGCATGTAGGCTTTCGTTTGGAATCTTCAAGTGTCCTTGAAAGGCTTGAACATGCTGGGCTTGCATGAGCCTGTAAGCCTGCCAGGATTTGGAAACCAAGCAGCATCGCGGTCGTGAAGATCCTCCCGACAGGACACGCCCAGCCGTCCGCCGTCCGAGCCCTTGTGCCGAGCGCTCCCAGTGCCAGGCCTCGAGACCGCAGTCGAAGCCAAGCGCGAAGGCCTGGAGTATCACTCTCTGAGGCTTCGACTCGAGCAAGCAGCACACACAGGTCAAGACGGTGATGCAGGGCCGCTGCTTCCAAAATCGAAGTGGCGAGCGATGGCGGAGGCAGCGGATTCAGACAAGTCTTCGGTCTCTGCCACTGGGGCCTGTCATGCGCCAAGAAGCTCCGAGTCGAGGGGCGAGCACCTGGCCAAACGCAGACGTGAACACGGACTACCGCCCGGAGGAAGCCTTCCGGCCAGTCGGCAAAGCCGGAGAACGTAACGCCGTGGAGCCATAGTTCTCATGGCAACACGCTCGCAGCAAGACTCCAAAAGAGAGCTTGACGCTGATCGCCCTGATGGCTGCAGCCAGCGCTTCGCACGGCTGTTCGCACGGCTCTTCGGTGCTCTTCGCGGCCGCCAGGTCTTTTGCAGCCTCGAGGCCCCGAAGCCGCAGCTGCGGTCTCCACCGCCGCCTCCTCCGGTGCAGATGGAGGACACAGCAGTCAGCAGCAGTCCTCACCTGACAAGGTACATGTGACTGTATGGGTTCAAAGTTCGGCACACGCATCGCCACAACAGGCTACGCCGACTTCCCCTCCAGTGCGTCCTGCTGGCGCAGCTAGCTTCTCAGCTTCTGCAACTCAAGTCACACAATTGACATTTGTCGAAACCGCCCTTCACGACGACCGAAGCTGGTATGTTGCAGGTGCGGACTGCTCCCCTTGTGTTAGTGTCTGAGCTGGTGCTGCAAGAGTTCAGTTTCTGTAGAAGGTGAAATCGACTTTGCATCAAGTTGCGCTTGCGCTGATTTTGGTTGCCTGACAGGATGCAATCTTCAAGTCCAGGTGTTGCCTGTTGAACCCATCACATCATCACGTCATGTCTTGACACGCTTGACCTAATTCCAGGGTTAGGCCTGAAACGTATCGATGGGCCCACTAGTGGCCCTATGCCAAAGCCTTGCTATGCTGCACTTGCCGCTGGTCGCCCTCGGCGGGTGTGTGGAGGCCCAGTAGTCGATCTGTCTGCAACACTGCGACATTGTCATACTCGCAGCATTGAGCCCCCTGAACCCGTGTTGGCGATTGCTTGTGACATCTTGCAACGTTTGACCTGCGACACTTTCCAGGTGACCAACTTTTCCTTCGTGAACCGCTGTAGCGCAGACGTGATTCTCAAAGACTGGAATGTCGTCGTGCCAACAAATACATCCCAACAGGCGGGCTCGGATAACGGTTACAGAAAGAGACATGGCGAGAGAGCCATGACACTTTGATTCCGCGTGCTGAGTGTTGGTGGAGGTGATGGAGTTAAGAACTTCGGGCTTGCAGAGGCACTGCCTAAAGTGTCGTTGCCAGTCAAAGCCACTCACCGTTCAAACGCAATCCTGAAACCTGCAGGATCTCCTGGCGTTATGTTGACGGCCCATGGGACACAGACTTTATCGAGCTGCTTCTTTGCAATGCTTCTTGTTGACTTGTGTGATTTTGCACGTTTTGGCTGGTAAGTGTTCTCAGTTTGTGCAGCGGCTGAGGTTGAATGGAGACTGGAAAGGGGTTGGCACCCCTTTCTGCGGCCATCCAAATTTTGCTTCATGGGCAGGCTTCTCGATGTCCAGCAGGCGCTTTCTGGTAAATGCCTCACATCATCAGATAGTCAGCTCAAGTGCAGTCAAACTCCAATAGCGCTGGTTCGGTCACGGGTTCGCGGCAACAGGTACGAGGCACTTCTGCCTGGTGAAGAGGGCGGAGAGCGCTTCGCGTGCTTCGGCCAAAACTTGCAAAGAATTGGTCTGTGCTAGCATGTCACCGCACAGGCGATCTCCTGGCAAAACCCCACCAACAAATCTAGAACTCCATGCGATTGTATGCCACTAGCCTTCGTGGGCAGAACATGCAGCACAGCTCCGATCAAAATCTTTGTGCGACAAGTACGCAGAGAGGTGTGCCGATCCCGGCGCAGAGCTGACATTTTCAATCTCTAGTTGCCCGTCAGCGCCCACATCACGCGGCTCGGCTGATGTGATGCTTCCTGCTTGCAGAATTCCCTGATCTTCTGCAGCTCACTCAATGATGCACGGCACACGCCCACGATGCTTCCCCCTATGGTGAGATTCAAGATCATGGCGAACATGCATCCCCCATGTATTGGTGGTATTGAAACATTGCCGAAATGCTTCCCCTGTAGACTGCCGATTCAGATTGGATTCAGGAGCACGACCAACATGCTTCCCCCCATGTACTGGCTTGATTCAGAGTCATGACTAAACTGTTTCCCCCAAACATTGGCGGCTTTCTTCTAGAATTGGCACCTCGCGCAAAGTGTCCGGACACACCGGCAGCACCGAGGGTTGCCACGTCGAACCGGCACGAGGCATTTGTCTTGGAATTGAAAATGCATGAATCACACTTCCTGGGGCACCCGAACAGGGAAGCACCGCGACCTGGTCAGCGGCAGTGGTTGCAGAAGTGCACAAGCACAGCACGATGGCTGTTCCGAGCAAATCCGAGCAATTGTCAGCCCATTTCTCTCCTGTGCACCACGTACAAATTATTTGCTAGAATTCTTCACAAAGGTTGGAGGCAGCAATCAACGGCAAATTGCGTTGCTCACAGTACGGCTTCAGAGCTATGTGGTCGACATATAATGTCGACATCACAGGCGATTCAGGTGGCATGCCGAAAGACACGGATCGACCCTGTATGTCCAACTCCTAGACCGCACTCAAGCTTTTGACAACCTGCGCCCCCAAGCCGTCCGAAACGAAGGCATTCGAGGTCTTGCAGACCAGCCCCCACTCACACCACATATCACCACATCCACCGGGCACAACTTAAGCTGCTTGGTCACGTGTTGAGAGCAACCCCGAGCAACCTGGAGAGGAACTCTGTTTTACGAAAGCTTGTTTTTGTTCAGGGGTGGTACTGTAAAGTCAGGTATCAGGCCGGGCCGACGTAGAGTACACTGGGCTGAGCAGCACGCCGAGTTGGCGTAGCACTGGCTCCTCAGACCCCACAGGGCCTCCCTAACTTCCACCCGAATTTCGCATACGCCTTCCTGCAACTTCACAGGCAGGCAGAACCGTCCAGTCTGGGGTAAGCCAGTGGCCAACTCCTCACAGTGAGTTTAGGGACGCGAGTGAGCTTTGCATGGGGTCGCCCAAAAAAGGCCACTAATTGTGAGGCCAATGCACTGGAATGCGCTGGAAATTACAATGGATCGCGCTTACCGAACTTACCGGAGGATGCAGACGCGAGAAGATCTTCTGTTAGATCGAAAGAGATCGCACGAAAGCCTGAGGGCCACTCCGCGGAAATCGCTTTGCCACGCTTTCGGGAAAAAACGATGGAAAAACACATGGGTGCGTCATGTTGTTTTTATGTATTTATTCGCGCCGCTTCCGCTGCAGCTTGTGACCTACAGCTGCCCACAGACTCATCGCCAGGTTATTATTGTGATTTCTTCGCCACCCAAGCCAGCATTAGAAATTGCAGCAGAGCCTTGGCTGAGCTTTGATGCCCGCGAATCTTCGTGCTTTGCAGCTCCCGAGGTGGTTTTGCCATCTACATGCAGGCTCCTCTGCATTTCGCAGCTGCAGCCTCGCAGCCTTTCTCTTTGTCATTGCAGGAGCGCTCCTGGGCTTTAAATCCAGATGGCAGTCGATCGCGAACTTACAATGCAACAAGGAGTCTTTACCAAATTAAGTTTAGGCTGTGTGACATGCCTAAACTTAAACTCTGTGTGGTAGCGACTAAGGAATATCATCAACTACTGGTGTGCTCCAGAATCATCAAACTGGCTCGGATGGGGTGTGGGACGGAGCCCGAGCCAAATGCCCCTTTTCTTTCTCCTTGTTGTGCGCTCACCTGTTCTTCCGAGCAAGGCTCCTTCATTGATTGCACACAGCGAGGGGCGCCGATTCATCTCCGTGTTTCTGGCCAGCAGAAGGGTAATTGGTCAATCTGATGACATGATGTCGTGTGGTATCACGATGTCGCCTCAGGTTACAACTTGCATCGACTGAAGGATGGCAGTTCTCTTTTTCCTAGTTTTCCTGCCCTTGGGCCCGGGCCACAAGTTGCCCCAGGCAGCCGGGTCGGTTGCCAGCAATTCGCCAGTTGACCTCAATTGAGCGCATGTTAAAGTGCCGAGCCGAGTGTACAGACAGCGGACTACGTGGCAAAACTGGAGCAGAACTGCACATGTCAATGTCTGGTTTGCCAGGACTGCATCTTCAAGCGCTGCTGTGCTCGTATGACTGATCGCACCGAGGGACATGTCCCGCTACTACGATGCAAGCGCTGGCTGACGGAAGTGATAGACTTCATGCAAGATAGAAGACTCTGCACTGACTCAGCTATTCTCATGTACAGCGCGAGAGATGAGGTGCTGGAGAAAGGGAGTGACCGGACATGCAGGGACCGTCCACGACTGCACTGTAGAATCTCATGGTTGAAGTGGTCCTTGATGCGAGCTGTTTCAGTGTATGGGTAGGATAGGATTGTCCACATCTTGTCGCTGGTCTTGATCGCATGGCACCAAAGAAGAGTGCCCCACAGGCAAAAGGAGGCCGGGACGGACCTTAGCTTGGAATTGTGGCAGACTACGTCCGCAAGTTGGTGTGCTGTTCAGGCAAAATGAAAAAGCCCGCAAGCAGCAAGGCTAGAGCTCAATGCAGATTTTTCTCCGATTCGGCCGCTCTGGAAGCTGCCCACATGCGAAAGGTCCAGAAACGGCCTGCGGCGGCGAAGGCCGTGCGTGATTCGCACAAAGGTCATGAATGCTCAGACTCAGAGCTCGAAGTTTGAGAGGCCGCGCTGAAGCGACCAGCGGCCATGAAGCAAACACCAGCAGCTGGGCCGCATGAACCTGGAGCATGAGCAAGATCTATTACATTTGGCGTGGCAGGCAAAGAAGGCCAAGACCGTGGCCACGGATCCAGTGCTCCAGGACGGAAGGGACATCCAATTTCGAATCTGTAGTGTCAACGGAGGCTTTAAAAGTTTTGGTAACGAGGAGCTTCGAGCCTGGGTGGTGAATCTGGAGCGTCGTCCCGACAGGCTCGGATCTGTTCTCTGCACACGGAAGACTGCAGGGCCGATTGCATGTGCAGGTGGAAGCGCGTGGCGACGATGTTGAAGAAGGTGCGATGCAGCAGAATGATTTTAGGAAAGGCCTTGGCCCACGGTCTGCGGCGGCATCGGCTCTTGGAGGAGCTGCCTTGGTTGTCCTTCGAGCGCTTCCTGGCTTCGGATGGATCGAAAATGACGATTCCCGAAGAGGACAGGGCCCGCAGAGCTGTGATAGGGCTGTGGGGGCAGCTGCATGGATGGCTTGGGCAGGACATCGCTGTCAAATGGAGCACATCCCGAAATGCCGGAAGCTGTGTGCAGTCCACTTGCTTTGAACTTTCCACTGATGTTGAGTTGCAATAGATCTACCACAGGAAAGCATCAGTACTGAAAGGCACTCTTTGCTGACTACTTCGAGTGGGTGTTCGAGGCTTGTGCGCGGGGTTTTGCAATGATCCGGTCAGCCTGCTGGGACTTACAAGGATGGCAGCCCATGGATGTGGGCTGCTGATGCTCCAGAAGAAGATGACAATTGGATTTTCCATGAAGACGGGCCTGAATTCAGCCAGCAGACTGAGAAGTGGGTGCTCTGTAGAGTGAGGATGAGTCTCTCAGCATCCTTCAACCCTCCATGCCTGGCCATCCCAGGCTATGTGCGCGATGCACCAAGCTTCGATGCTCAGCCGCCTCGAAAGGGGACTGTGACGAAAAAGTCTACGGGTGAGAAGTTCCAGGCGGCCCGACTGCTGCAATTGTAGCGTTGCAAACTTGCAGCTGTTGCCAGGTTCGGCTGTCTTTTGCACAGCGGTTCCGCGATGGTCAGGACGGGTTCGTGAAAAGTCGGAGACTGTTTCCGTAAATTGATCGTACATGGGTGGGCATGGCATGGAGGAATTCAGACCGCAGGCTACCAGGTGTTTTTGTGATCTCATGTCTAGCTGGATGTCTGCTGTTCTGTCCTGCTTAGCAATGGTGTTCTCACCCCCCAGCGTTCAGTGCATCAGTCGATTAGTGAGTCAATCAGTCAATCAGCCCGCCAACAAGTCAGTATATCATATGACATGTTACGCGAAACGATTTGCGCACGTCTTGCGATTATAGCGTCTACCCTTATTGACAGGCCATGGTCGCCTGCAGCTTGAAACAGTCACTTAAGCGCTTGCCTCAAAGAACCCTCCAGAGCAAAACCAATGCACATGGTGATGTCAAGCTGATGCAAGAACAGGAGCAGCTAATGTCTGGCGGAGAGCGTGGCTGCGCCCACTCGCACTTGTGTCCGACCAAGAGACTGCCTGCTGCAATTGTTGCGTCTGTAATGGTGCTCTAGAGTCTGGCTTCCTCGGGCTTCACGCTGGCGTTGAGGCGCCTTTGGCGCCTTGCCGCCGAGCGAGAGCAGCCCACACTGGTGTTGGAGGAGCCGGACAGCGACAAGCGTGAGCCACGCAGACGGTGGAGTAACGTTGGAAGTAGTTGTAGCCATCCTGATCCCATGACCGGGATGCCAGGATGACGTTCACCTGACCTTTGATCGTAATGGCGATCTAGGCAAGATGAATGGCAAGGCGGATGTGCAGAAGATAGGCTTTGTTGTTCCAGAATACGGAGCCTTGGTTGCAGGTTTTCACCGACCGTTTGACGAAAGCCCTGCAGCGAGTACCCTCAGACTTTGAGCCTGGTGCTGCAAAGTGGTTGAGCATACTCTATATTTATGTACTGCGACACTCCTCCTCCTCCTCCTCGTCCTCCTCAGTCCTCCTCCTCCTGCTAATACTACTACTGCTAACCTACGCGCCTAAGCCCAAAACAGCCCCAAAAACCCTGAACTACCGAAGCCCAAACTCTAAACCCTAAGCCCCAAACCACCCAAGCCTGGTTCTCTAAACAAACCCAAACCTTGAACCCCTTAGCCGTGAACGCTAAACAACCCAACTCCCAAACCCCAAGCAAGCCGTAACCCCAAATCTACATAAGCCCCAAAAGCCCGAAGCAACAATCCCAAATCCTTGTCTGAAAGAAGCCTAAGCATTTCCAAGCCTCAGGAACCCAACACCCTAAACATCGCCGAATCCTCAACCTTAAATTGTTGCAACACTCTGGATCTGAGCATCCCCGGCATCGATGCAAGGAGCAAGAAGGAATCCTGAAAAGCTTAGTTGGCGCCTTCAGCAGGTGAATATGATGGAATGGTACAGAAGTTGGTGAAGTCGGGTTCAAGTGGGCTCCGTAGCGAAAAAACTTGTTTGCTTGATGCAAGAAGAACATTTTGATGAAGCGATGAATCAAACAAAAAGAACCATAAAACCAGACAAACAGGCCCCGCCGTGGAGATTTCTGCAGTGACTGACCGTCGCAATGAGGATATCGTTTGCTGTCAACATCTGCAGAAAGGTGGACCGAAAACGCGAGGCCACTATGCCAGCAGACATGTCGGTGGGTCCACGGCCAGCCCGGCTGGAATCCGTACCGCCACACGACATGAAGTGCCAGCTGAACCCACATGACCTTACTAATTTGGCCTGTATCTATTCAACCGGAGGAATTCGAAGCTTTACAAGCTACTGGCAGCGTGTTTGGGATAAACGGATAAAGGGCGCTTGCCCGTGACCACTCTTTGTAAGTGCTCGGACTCCAAGAATTGGAAAACTACTTGGCCTTGGGCACGGAAGAGCCGGGCAAAGGCAGGTTACAACTGTTGGAGTCGTCAGGGAGAAGCAGGGCATTAACACAAAGGGAACCGAAGTCAACCTTCAACAACCCCACACCGCAAGCAACCCCAAACGCTAAACCCATTTATTTCAACTAGAAATCCTTAACCCCCGAAGCTCTGAACACTTCCAAACCTTGGACTCTTAGACCTTCATAACCGCAGCCATTGAACAAAAATCAACATCCCAAACCCTAAATAACCGCACACCCGAAAAAAGCCCAGCCCGGACCTACCCAAATATCTACAACAAACCCCAAAGCTGACGTTGGAAGCGAACCCTGCTTCCATCCTCAGGACGTGGTGTACTTGGGCTGGTCTGGATGGCGAGGTGGGAACTTCATGCACATGCAGGCGCACAAGCAGGCTTGCCATGGCCCATGTTTCATGATCGCCTCGCAACGGCCAGCGCGATGCAGGAGTCTGAAAGCACGCTGTCGGCAGAGGACCGAAAGTTCGTCCAGAAGGCTCCCATGCAGAGATTTCAAGTCCCCTTGCCGGCTGTGCCTCAAACTGAGCCTGGAAGACCCTGGAAGCTTGAAAGGCAGAGTACGTGTGGACGACTGTTGCATATGTCCTCTCGCAGGCCGCAGCAAACACGCACACAGCTTTCGGCGCCTGCACATGTCTTCAATCGCGAGGCTGGTGCAAAGAAGCTGCTCTTGGCAGCCAGCTCTTCTGTCAACCAGCCGGTTGACAACTTCATGGCATACGAGGCCACCGGACTGCGGAGAAGTCGGCACATAGACTGATAGTGAGATGTTCTGTCCAGGCCAGCCAGGGAAAGCTGAACTCGTATGTCTGCCTAGACGAGGGTGACGAGGCACCTGCGCGTCGCGAACTCTGGTGCCTCCTCAACGTTACATGTCGCGAGGACAGCACGTGGGCTGGTGGAATCGTTGATCAGTTTGACTTCCAGGGAGATTCGGACATCAAGAAGACGATGCCCCAGCAGGGCTTTTCGCAAGTGACACGGAACAATCTGCGAATCTTCTGAGGTCTGATGGTGGCCATCAGGGAGATGATGCCAATGAGTTCGCGACGTCCTAATTGAGCGAGCGGGCCATCGTTTGTGGGGTTTTTGACGGTCTGGCATTCGAACAAAGCCCTCAAACCCTCAACTATCCTGAACTGCGAAACGGCCCATCGACGAAAACAGACCCGCCCTGAAACCAAAGCCATTCGCAGTCGCAGGCTCAACCAAAGAAGTAGAAGAGCATGGCTCCCTACGCAAATTGCAGGCTCCAGGATTGAAGCAGCGGGTAAGAAGCGGATTCCAGCCACAATGTTGACACAGGCAGGGGCAGCCAGGGGGCGAGCGGCCATAATGGCCTCGGGGTAAAAAGCGCCTGGGAGACAACGTCAAAGAACGGATACGTTGCCTTCGCAGCGCGGCGGCTTGCTTGGAGCTGATTCGGGTTGGCCAGCACGAGCAATGGGTTGCTGTGCAAGTGATGGCTGGAGACAGATGATGCTAGATCACAGAGTTTAGATTAGATACTTCGCTGATAGCCTGCTACAGTAACAGTCTAACATATGCAGTATCGGTATCTTTAGCATTCAACACGGCAGTCATTGTGTTGTTGGCCGGGGATGGCTGGGGTGGAGAGTCGCATAAGACTCGCTTGGCCAAGATGCCATGATTCTACGAGAAGCGCAGCGCAGCGCACGTAGAATCATCGAAAATCTCTCGCACGGGTCACGGGGTCCGTAGCATGCGTCTGTCTCTGTGCCAGTGCACACGCCGCCCTGTGCAACATTGCGACTGCTTCGTGCAGCCGCGCTGGCTCGAGCCTGCATGGCCTCCTGGAGTTAACGGTGCGGCGCTTGTTCTGATTCTGAACCGCTATTCACCGTGGCTTACGCCCAGATCAGCATGGCTGCAGAGCCGAACACGAGCAAGAGCAAGCTTCTCAGGAAGGGAGCACTTCAAGTGGCCCCAGCAATGCCAGGCGCGCCTGCTGTAAGTTGTGTTGAGAGCATTCTCATGGAAGCTTGGCCTGCAACCGATATGTCAATGAGGTTGCTGGCTGGGCCTTGTGCGTTTGCTCAGACTCGGTTTCGCTCCGAGGAAGCATGCAGATGATCACTTCGGTAATTGCTCCATCTCGCAGCAGTGTCAAGCAGTGTCTAGCAGTCTAGCAGGAATGCGCAGTGTGTCTCCTGAGGCACCCGGTACTCTGTTCAAGACGAAGACAAGCTCCAAGCACCGGGCACAGCTCTGTGTGTTAGGGCAGAGACTCGAGTTCTCGGACCTCAGTGTGCACTGTGCAGGTTGCGGATGAGCCTAGTGGCGGTTGCTTGCATTACGAGGCCGTGGCTTGTGCTTTTGTTGCAAACACACACTGGCCGTCATAGACCAGCACGTTCTAGATTTAGACCATCTTCCTGAACTCGAGCAATGTAGTTGATCAGACTTCTTCCAAAGTCAGCTGGTCAAGTTTCCGTGAGAGGACAGGCGCGATGCAGTGAACGAGGTGGTGCTGGAAGGTCCGTGTCCTGAGAAGCAGCGGCACCCGCATTTTGACAAAGCTGTGATAAGGTGGGGAAGGTGATGCGGTCTACTTCCAACGGGTCCTGTGTCGACCTCAAGAGGTCTTGCAGTGCTCCCTGCGTGCAACAGCATCCCGTGCTTTTGTTCGGCCTCGAGGCCCGGCTCCAGAGCGGCGAAGCTCGGGGTGCAGAAGGGCGACGAAGTGCTGCAGGTTGGAGAAGGGCATGAGCCGAGCGATACTTGTAAATCTTTGCAGTGAAGCCATGCGAAGCCAGGTCAATCTCATTGATCCCGAGATCTTGTTCTGGCGCCCCGCAGAGGAAATTCTTCCCGCCATAGTTGGTCCGGGGCTGGTGCGATGTGCAGAAGTGCTGTTGAAGCAGTGGCAATGTCAGAAGTGAGGAGTCAGGATCCCATGTCACCAAAGTGGAGCTAGGTTTGAGCTTAGCCTTGCTTTTGGCAGGGTCGGACAAAGGAGGAAAGCCGCACAGGAGTCCATTTTTTTGAGGATTTTAGAGGAAAATAGGTAGAGGAAAATAGGCGGTTGTGTGGCACACTTGTGTGAGTAGGAACAAGCGCTCGCGATCGACCGAGACTATCGGCTCGATCGCCCTTTCAAGCAGAGTCTCTGCCCCTTCGCCTCTCTTCGTCGTCATGGCCTCCCCTCGTGAGATCGCCGACTTCACCGCGGCCACTATGTCGCATCGGTGTCTACTGCGACCTGGGTGGGAAGACGCCTGCGACGGGCGTGTTGCGAGAGATCGCCGTGCAGCCCACGTCGGGCGCCACGGCCGAGCTCCAGCCAGTCTTCCACCGAACTTTTCATCCGCACCTGCATCGCCGGTGCGTCTCTGGCGACCCTCGCAGCGGCGATCCGGGCGCTTCCCCCCCAGGATCGCGACCGCCTGCTCTCCGCCCAGGGGGCGGCCTCCTCTTGCGGCGGCTGCGGCCAGCGCCAGCTTCCAGTCGCCGCCACGTACGAAGATGCCAGAACTAGCCTCATCGAGCGTGAGCTGTTGGCTCAGTTCGCGGACGAGGCGGCCCGGCCGAAGCCCAAGGGTGGCTGTGAGGAGTCGGGCACGACGTTGACTTCGGGTACATGGTGCACCCTCAGAAGCAGCCCTGGCCTTGGCTACATCGACCTCGGCGCCTACGACGTCCTCTTCGTCGGCGGTGTCGGGGCAGGGCGCAGAAGTGCGCACGTCGGCACCGGCACCGAGTTTTCGGGCGGTGTGCCCGGCCGGGCGCAGCTTGCGCTACGACCAAAAAAGGGCCACTGTACGTCAGTAGGAGTTTTGGCTAAATGCTAACATGTCGTCAGCATATGCGAATTCAATGTTTCTCTGGTGGGGACGGGGGTTGGGGTGATGCGTATGGAATCAATGCCTTTAACAAGGTTTTGCGACTAGAAGAACAACCAAGAACAGCGACTGCAACAACGCCAACAGAACCAGCAGTACAACAGCATGATGCAAGCACGAGGACAAGCCCTGACCTTAACAGTGCCAACATTGCAAACAGTGGCACGTCAAAACAAAAATGGATAGGCACCCGCAACACCCGCTCGACAGCGATCACTCGGACTCCCTCCTATCTCGCAATTTGTGATGTCTGTCGTTGGCTTTGACCTTTCCCTCACGTCTTCCACAATCAGTTTAAGCCTGGAATTCAGGTCCTGTGATGCTGAAGTGGCGGCGAAGACCTCCACAGAAGTCGGGGGAGCGAACAAGGACAGGCGGTGCCCATGCGTGCATGGGCAGGGCGATAGAGACAACATTGTCTTCCTGCTGGCTCAAGACCCTGGCGGCAGGATCAACTCGAAGCCCATCAAATTGCTGTGGCATGCTCGGAGCTTGGCAAGTTGTGTGGCTTGTCTGGCCATGTCTTCCTGCAACTGCCAGCGCATTAACCGGAGACAGGATGACGAAGAAGAGCTTCAAGATGTCAGGGCCGAATATGCTGTTTCTGCTGTTGTCGCAGCAACGTGGTGCACGAGATGCGAAGGCTCCATGGAACATGACGGCGCATTTGCTAGGTAATTCCGGAGTATCCCAAATCCCGCGCCGAAGCCCTCGGAGATGGCGAATGGAGCTGCCCTCAGTTGTTAGTGTCCAGTGGGCAAGCTTCAGAGGCCTTAAAAGGCTCAAGTCGTAGAACAGGTCACAGTGGAAGAGATTCCAAGGCTTTGTGGTTCTTGCGGAGCAAAGAACTTCGACACACAGGAGTGGGAAGCCAAGCCGGCCACTGCGTTGCGTTTATTCTTCGTCAGGTCAGGTGCGTGTCTCAGGCACTGTCGCCGCTGCGGCCTTCGCGACTCACGCCTGCTGCAGCCTCATGCTGCTGAGACACAGAGCTGACATTTGCCAGACATGTCCAACCTCCCTGCAGGCCGAAGCGTCCGGGACCGCAGCCCAGGCGACATGTGGACCTGCAGAGGAGGAGGGGCAGGGAAAGAAGTTGCACAAGTTGCGACGGTGCAAGTCGACATGTTTGTTCATGAATTTTCTTGCAGTCACATCAAGCCAGTCAAGTGCACCCTGAGTCTTCCGGCCGTTTGTTTCGGGCGCGTGGAGGTTGACAAGCAGGCCGGTCCGTAGGATGTCAGCTCTGCAACGCTCACAATATGCTATGGAAGGCAGTCAAGCACGCGGCATCTGCCCGGTCCTGTGACGCTAGCGGTGTCTATTTGTGCTTGCTGAGACGAGCACACCTGACAAAGGCCGGACCACTCAACGTTTGTGACGTCTGATCGCATCCAATGTAGCACAAAAACGTCTCTTGCTGTGCTGGCTTGCTGTAGCTCCAAAGATGAGTTAGCAAAAGGAGCCGGCTTCTTCTTTGAGATGCAGCCGCTTTTGAGTTGAGGAGCCCGGGAGTACAGTACCAGGTCACAACTCCGATGGCTGAGAACTGCTGCAGAATTCGCTTTTGAGGTGATTCGTAGTTCCTTGGCACGCATGCGGAAAGTCTCTCGCATCACTGATCCTTTGCAGAGCAAGAGCCACCAACAAAGATTTACACGGACACTCTTTGTCGCTGCCGGACCACCTTCACGTTGGCTTTCCACACTCACTCAAGCGTCGCACTGTCTCGACTCGATTGAAATAGATAGTATTTAGTGCTGTAGAGGGCCACTATAAGATCAGACGTGTTGACTGCTTCACCGCTCATCGCCGCACCACGCTGTCGTTGTTCTAGCTTTTCAAGTGCTAAACGATGGAAATGTGGGCGTCCTCACGGCAGGTGGGCACTGCGCCGCTGCTTTTTGCAAGGGCGCAAGGAAACGACGCCTTCCCGAACTTGCAGGTGTCCCAGCGCGGCCTGGAGGTGAGCACAATGTGCGATGAGCTCTGGTCCGTGTCCCACCTTCTTGAAGTCTTCTGATGAAGTGGTGCAAAAAAACCACTGGGCCGAAGGCAGGCGTTGTTGGGACCGTTTGGAAGCCCAGCCGGGTTAAGGTCCAGATGCCTGTGACGCAGCTTTGCTGGCCTGCGACTCAGTAGCGTGGCAGAGCGTGGCAGTGCCTCCAAGTCTTATGAAAGGCCTGGGCCAATGCATGCTTGCAAAGTCACAGCGACGAGCCGGCTCCCACCCTGGAGGCCAGGCCAACAGAAGGATGCTCGTCCACGCTTCACTGTGGTTGCAACTGGCAGGCAATCGTCGAGACGGACTCTGTTTCTATGCTCTTCAGGATCTTCGGACTCGGTGATCCAGACCAAGGCAGGGAGTCTCCGCGCCGCTCGCATCCGCTCGCCAAGATCGATAGACGCAAAGGTGCGCGTCAACGGAACCCCTCGCAGCGCCGGCGGCGGGCTGCGGAGATGCTGAACGCCTTCCGGCCAGGTCTGGAGCCTTGAGAATCAGGGCCTCGTCAAAATGCGGCTCGTGAGAGGCCTCATCGAACCCGCCGTGGCCGAGCTCGGCGGCCCGGCAGCAGTGCGGCTCCCAGGACAAAGCGATGTTTGGGCTCGGATGCAAGCAATGGCCTTGTCGGAGGCGCGAAACATCGCCGCGGCCGTTCTTGTAGTGGCCGTTGAGGCCCGCCTTGCTTCGGTCGACAAGCCAGGGCACACATGAGACATACCTACACATGCATGCTGCATGCCCTTGTGTGTGTGTGTGCATTTACGAAGTTTTCGAATGAACCAAGGCAAAGATGGTACCGGTGTGCACCGACACGCCACGAAAGGAATGCTGTTTTGGACGCCGATAATCCATAAACACAATCGCAAATTGTGTCGTTGGGATTCTTGATTGTAGCCGCAACTGTCCTGCTGCACTCGCAGGCCAAGGCAATTCAGCATCCTCTGAGTCTCGCTGTGGTGCAGTGCGCTCGTGAATTGTGGAATGAAGCACACGAACTGCACGTCAGGGAAGGGTTGGTTTCCGTTTCTCTGTGACTCGTGACGCGCTTCAACCTGGGTTGTACCTCGTTGAGGCACACGGTTTCAAGTCCATTCGACATCCCATTGTGGATACGACTTCGCTGCCATTTGAAGTCACATGGACGTTTTTTAAACATCGTATCAAGTCTTGTCGACGTGGTGTCGAAATCCCCTCGGTACCGTATTTTCGCAATCGTGCCTTCGGTACGACAGTGTATGCTAGCTCGCTAACAAATACACCATAAGACATCGAAGGTGTCGTGCCGATACAGGTATCGAAGGTACCTGCTATGAATCAGGTCTCCGAATGGCCGTGGCCATTTCGGCTAGGAGGCCTCCTAACGGGAGGCTATTTTGAAGAGATAGGGGGAAGGGGAACGGGGTCGTGGACCCCGCTTTGAGCTATGGTGGAAAGCCCCACGGAAGTGGTGCTAAGCAGTCCGGAGGAACCCCCCGAGGGGGGAGATGTCCTGCTGGATGGGATAGATCATCCGCTACAGGGGGCGCCTTTGCTAGCCCCGGACCTGGTCGAGGATATCGACTTTGGACTGCTAGACAGAGCCCGCAATCTCCTAACGGACCAGGGGATGGGCACGCTAGAGCTCGCAACACAGGACCTAGAGGATAGCGAGGCCATTGCGAAGCAGATCGCTGTCGAGCTAGGCCTCCCGTGCCCCAGCTATCTTGCAGAAGCAGTTTTGGACTGGATACAGGAAGCGAAGAAGCAATCCAACCTGTACCACCGGGCAGGTGGTGTTCTTGCTGGAGATCTAGAATGGAGGCTACTATCGCCCCCGGTAGAGAGAGGCGAAGCTAGCGAACCCATGGAGCAAGAGTGGCAACCGCCACCTGGTGAGAGGAACAGGAAACTGCTAGAGGACGGCTTCATCTCTCAGGCGAAAGAGGAGAGGCTACAGGAGCTATGGGTGCTCAAGCTGAAGACCGAACTCAAGGAGATAGACGCACTGGTGTTGGGTAAGCTACAAGGTAGTTTGGATCCCGACCGGGCCGCTAACCTCCTGGTCGGCCGGACCCGGTCGAGTACCCTCAAGCGCTATCTCACCTACTACAAGCATTGGCGTTTGTGGTTGGGAGAAGCTAAGCTAAGGCTACCTCCAGGCAGGCCGGCCGATCTGGTCGATTACCTGCTATCTCGGAGGGACGAACCCTGCGGTAGGACGGTCCCAGAGGCCCTGCTAAAAGCTATCGCGTGGATGGAAAACGTAGCAGAGTACCCGCTGGAGCTCCGAGCTACCCACGGAAGGATGGCCTGGGCAGCAAAGGACCGGATAGTGGAGGAGCTGTCCGAGGGGGCCCCCTTTATCAAGAGGGCACCCCGCTACCCAGTCTACGTGCTAGCACAGATGGAGAAGCTCGTCGTGGACGATGGCCAGCTAGTGGGTCTGCGCGTGTGGGCTTGGGGAAAGCTACTCATCAAGGTCTGGGGAACTCTCCGCTGGGCAGACCTCCAAGCTATAATCCCCGGGGAGCTAAGCCTGGTGGAAGGACGCCTGGTGACGACCCTCCGAAAGACCAAGACCTCGGGGGCGAGCCGTCGAGTGAAAGAGCTACCAGTCTGTATTTCAGAAAGAGCTTTCTTTGCTTGCTCGGGTTGGCTAGCAACGGGGTTCAACCTGCTAAAAGTGCACGCTAACTACAAAAGGGACTACCTCCTTCCCCGCTTGGGGTCGGGGGGACAGCTAGAGCGAAAGATGGCAGCGTACGCCGATGCTATGGTGGCCACGGCCTCGATCCTGGCTGTACTGGGCCTACCGTCGGTGCTACAGGGGTTCTGGACGGAACACAGCCAAAAGGCGGTTCTTCCCACCGCGCTAGCACTGCAGGACGTGGCCCCCAGGACCGAGACCTGCTAGGACGCTGGAAACCCGAGGGATCTGATACCTATGCTAGGTCCTTTGGGGGAAGAGTGGCTAGGCTGCAAGCCCAGTTCGCAAGAGCTGCTCGGAGAGCCGACCGCTACACTGTCCGCGACGAAAGGGACATCGCAGCTACCATGACAAGGTGGCTAGAGGACAGAGCGGGCTTGACCGAGGACCAGGCCGAGGCGCCAGTCGGCCCACTGAGGCACTCGCGGCGGTAGGTGACCCTGACGGTCCCACCGGGGTGCCACCGAGGGTGGAGCCGGAGGACCCAGCCAGGACCTGGGACCCGCTAGCTCAAGTTCGGCGAGCGAAAGCCCGACCGAGGAACCGAAGCGGAAGCAGATCCGCGTCCAGGAGAGGGCCGCACGCTATGTAGTCGTAGAGCTTCCTGGGGGAATCGCTAGGCTCCACAAGGCCGGTAGAGAGGGATGCTGGATGGGCCGAAGACGGGCCTTCAGAAGTTCCCGGGAGTTCGTTCAGGCCCCCGCTAGGTTTGAGTACACCCACGTGTGTAAGCTATGTTGGTCTCAGGGGGATCGCGAGAGCGGTTCCGAGGCAACAGAGGGGAGCGAGGCCGCTACTGTGGACACATGCACTTGCAAAGGCGGTCCTAGCACAATGTGCGCATGCCCTTGCAGAACCCTTGCATAGCGGAAATGACGTGGTTCTCTCGCCCTTCTTTCTCCCCCGAGACCCGCTTCGGAGAGAGGAAGGGAGTAGCACATGCAGCTGCGTGACCGGGCTGTTCTTTGCTAGCCGTGTGCTGCAACTGTGTCCTGGCCCGGCCTCGCACAGCCCGCGGGGGGTCGCTTAGCGACTTCCTTAGCTTGCGTAGCTGGCCTGCCAGAGATGGTAAGCTTGCTGCGCTAGCATCTGCGGATCGAGGGGCTCCGCCCCTGCTCCCGCACCGGTGCTAGCTTCGGGCACGTTCGCCTCGTGTCGCTCGCCTCCCCGTCCCCCGCTAGGCCCCCCCCTGTCGCCTCGGCACGCGTGCTCGCAACAACTTGAAAATGGGGTGGAGCTACGCGCGGGACCCGCGGGCCCCTTCTCTGCGGTTGCAGCGCACGGGGCTGTGGGGGGGGGGTTCTCCATGCTCGTCGCGGAATCGTTGGGGAGAGTTTGCTAGAACCTCTGGCTAGAGCTCGCTTCGGCTTTTCTAGTGGGCCTGGTGGGGCCGGAACCACCCGCTACTGCAGCCATGACGGACCCCGGAGGAGAAGCCCACGCTAGAGAGCATGACTGGCCGAGCCTGGCTAGGGAACTCCGCTATTGGCTGAACAACCGGCCGCAAGAGCTAGAGACCGGGTTGCGAGACCTTGGGTCGCAACCGCTAGGCCGACTAATCGCGGTCAGCCGCAACGCTAGAAACGCGGCAGTGGAGTTCGAGCCAGTGCCCGCTAAGCAGCCGCCGCAAGCCAAGGCTGCCGCTACAGCAGCCGCTACCGCTATTCCGAAGGCGCCTCCACCTGTGCTACAGCCCCGCTCGCCGTCACCTGGAGCTGGGGCCTGGTACGGAGGCTCTCGGAATAAGCTAGCGCCCGACGCTCACAGCAGGGCCGCTAGAACTGCCTTGGACCGCAAGGTACGCTATGCTTCCACTTGGGCTGAGTTTACGCCAGACGAGGAAGAACAGCTATCCCAGAGGGCGGAGGCCGCAGAGGTCGAAGCCCGCGCTAGAGCTGCACAGCAAGAGGAGGCAGCCGAGCGTGCTAAGGCACGCGAGCTAGAGGTCCAGGAGGAGGAGGCAGCTACTAGGCGCGCAGAGGCGCGTGCCCGCTACGAGCGCCAAGAGTCGGAGCTGGAGGCGCAGCTAGAGGCAGCGGCAGAAGCTGCAGCTAAGGAGCAGGCCGAGCTGAGGGCCGCGATAGCCGCCTCCAGGGCGGCCGCTATGGGGGGAACTGAGCCGGAGGGAGCTAACAGCTCGTCTTCCGGCTTCCCTCCGCTACCCAAGGCAGACGCTGGCTTGAGGACGTCGCTAAGGGGGGGACCGCCCGCAGACTCTTCGGGAGCGGTCGCCCCACGCTAGCCGCTGGTCCGACTTGATGGAGGGCGAGGCACCCGGCCTTAGGCCCGCTAACCCCCTCACCTGAACATGTCCTACGGTGAGGCAGCAACGCCGCGCTACGGGGGAAGGGCGTACCCATGGAGCCTCCCCCCCGCTAATACTCGTGGCCAGCCACGTGGACGCGACGGCCACTTGCTAGAACTGAGCTGGAGTTCGATAGACCCGTCCCACGAACGGCCGCTAGGCAGCTTTGCCAGGGGGCAGGAACCCCACGCTAAGCGGTTCGGAAAGTCGAAGGACGGAGGCATCCTTCC